ATGCGCTACTGAGCAAAAGCCATTCATTTAAATAGGGCGCCATCTTGGATCACCGGGGCTTACTAAGGACACAACCCACCATATATATAGTCAGCAGACATCCATGGGAGTCGATGGAGAAGGTCTGGTGGTGGGCTCGAACCCACGACCTTCAGGCTCAAAGGCCAATGCTCTACCATCGCCCCCCCCCCCCCATATATATTAATATATATTAGGGCTGTCGAACGTGTAAAAAAATTGATCGAGTTAATTACAGCTAAAAAATGTATTAATCATAATTAATCGCATTGAATTCCAAGAGGACCTACCTGCTCTGTCACCGTCACGGCATTCTGAGTGTTATAATTGGATGTATGGGCGTTAAAAGCGTTAATTTTTTTAACGCGATTAATGAACAAAATTAATTAACGTGCGTTGACGCGAAAAGTTTGACAGTCCTAATATATATATATATATATATATATTAGTGCTGTCCAACAATTAAAATATTTAATCGCGATTAATCGCATGAATTTCATAGTTAACTCGCGATTAATCGCAAATTAGTCACACATTTGTGTGGGTGTGCGTGTGTATGTGTGGGTATATAGACCATAGATTGTATAGAAACATCATGGTGTCATTATGATGATGATAAACAATGTAAATTTGTTCATGTAAATACTCTATGCTGTTTCTCTGTTTACTTTCGGTATATCTATGACTGTATACTGTTTGTTTGTATTGCCTTTTTTAGTAACCCCTCCCCCCCATCTCCCACTTCATGTCCCCCCCCTCCTATGCAGTGTTGTGCCAGTTCACAGCTTTTCTGAACTAGTTCAAGTTCAGTTCATACATGCTCAAAGTGAACAGAACACGTTCAAAGTTCACATTTTTTATTCTGAACTAGTTCAAGGTTCAGTTCATTTTCCTTTTTTTGTGAGATAAATACATATTTTTTTCACACTACGAGCTATATATATATATATATATATATATCTCCTGTACACCCACAGGAGGAGAGCCTTGAGACTACAAAACAGACTAGATTTACATGGTTTTCAATGGGAGCAAAACGGAGTTGCTCCATCTCTGCTCATAAACTACAGACAGTAATGCGCTGCAGTGCGTGTGTCTATACTTTATGTCAAATGTAAACGGTGTAAACTTTGTCGCTAACTCACCTTGTGTTTTCATCACGGCTCGGGCACATGTGAAAAGCACCAGCTCACAGCGCCGCACCGTATAACAAGGCGTCGGGGTGCGTTCACAGACGGTGGAAACCGTAGGAATTTTTAGATTTCGGCGGAAAAAGTGCGAGAATACAGGAGGGAGGAACTTTCTCTCGTTGCGTTTTAAAAGAGAAAACAGATTCCAACGTTCATAGTGATGTCTGCCGTTCATGACACATAAAATGAACTAATTCACGTTCAAGTTCTTTTTTTAAAAATGTGTTGCGTTCAGTTCAATGTTCACAAAAAAATGAGCGTGTTCAATGAACGCGTTCTTTTGAACTCGTTCACGCACAACACTTCTCCTATGTGCCCTTCTGGGTTTCTTCTTTGGCTCTTCTAATCTCTGTCTACAATGTATCTGAACTAGTCATTTTCTTTGTTTCTATTTTTTTTTCTGTATATGTTTGTCTGCAATAAAAAGTAAAAAAATAATAAAAAATAAATAAATAATTAATCGCGCAATAAAAAAAATGAAGCCGTTAATATTGATTTGCGTTAATAACACAATATTTTGGACAGCACTAATATATATATATATATATATATATATATATATAATATGATAATATGGCGGGTTTCTGAATCTACAGCTACACCACCTCTGATGCTGTGACCTGTCCTGCTCCTTCCGGCGGCTGCACCACCTCTGCTGTGACCAGTCCTCCTGCTCCTCCCGGCAGCTACACTACCTCTGCTGCTGTGACCAGTCCTGCTCCTCTAGGCGGCTAAGCCACCCGTGTTGTTGCGTCCTCCTTCACCGTGGAGGATGTCTGGCTGGAGCTGAAGAAGCTCCAGCGGAGGAATTGTCCTGGGCCTGATAGGATAGCGCCAAGGCTCCTGAAGGAATATGCAGCTGAGTCTTCATACTGGATGTGTCCCTGCCCGCTGGAAAACCTCCTACCTGGTACCCGTCCCCAAGGTAGCAAGGCCAACAAGATGCAAGGACTACAGTCCAGTGGCAGTAACATCTGTAATAATGAAGACTTGTGAGAGGCTAGTACTCCAACTGCTCATGTTACAGGTTGAGCAGGCTCTTAACCCCCTGCAGTTTGCCTATCAGGAGAACATGGGGGTGGATGACGCAGTCCTCTACATTCTCCATCGGCCCGTGTCCTTCCCAGTGGGGGCGGGTCCCGGCTCAAATGTGGCCAAAATGATGTGCGCTGGCATACTTGCAATACCACCCCGGGCCGATGGGGGTGGGCCCGGAATAAGAATTAGCCAATGCTAACATATACAGTGGGGCAAAAAGTATTTAGTCAGCCACCGATTGTGCAAGTTCTCCCACTTAATAATGACAGAGGTCTGTAATTTTCATCATAGGTACACTTCAACTGTGAGAGACAGAATGTGAAAAAAAATCCAGGACTTGTTACCTGTATTAATGGCACCTGTTTGAACTCGTTCTCTGTATAAAAGACACCTGTCCACAGCCTCAAGCAGTCAGACTCCAAACTCCACTATGGCCAAGACCAAAGAGCTGTTGAAGGACACCAGGAAAAGAATTGTAGACCTGCACCAGACTGGGAAGAGTGAATCTACAATAGGCAAGCAGCTTGTTGTGAACAAATCAACTCTGGGAGCAATTATCAGAAAATGGAAGACATACAAGACCACTGATAATCTCCCTCGATCTGGGGCTCCACGCAAGATCTCATCCCGTGGGGTCAAAATAATCATGAGAACGGTGATCAAAAATCCCAGAACCACACGGGGGGACCTGGTGAATGACCTGCAGAGAGCTGGGACCAAAGTAACAAAGGTTACCATAAGTAACACACTACGACAGGGAATCAAAATCCTGCAGTGCCAGACGTGTCCCCCTGCTGAAGCCAGTGCATGTCCAGGCCCGTCTGAAGTTTGCCAGAGAGCACATGGATGATACAGCAGAGGATTGGGAGAATGTCATTTGGTCAGATGAAACCAAAGTAGAACTGTTTGGTATAAACTCAACTCGTCGTGTTTGGAGGAAGAAGAATACTGAGTTGCATCCCAAGAACACCATACCTACAAGAACACAATTTTTTTTGACCACTCTGGTTTACTCGCTGTGAATTTTTGAAGTCACTCGTTTAAATGAATGGAGCTCGAGCCGGGTGATGCATGCGCAGATGCGGTTTTATTTTTCACATTTTCCAGCCCCCGTGGCCATTTTGAATCACTCCATGAGAGCCCAATTTTTGGCCCATTAGTTAGAACGGCGGAGATAGGCGTGACTACGTCTGAATATATACAGTCAATGGTCCTTCCTGGATGGCCCTGGAGGCGATGTGAGGCTGATGTTCTTCGACTTCTCCAGTACATTTAACACCATACGACCTCGCTTACTGAATGAGAAACTGGAGAAGATCAGAGTTGAACCCATGTTTACCCACTGGATTTAAATTACCTCACTGTGCAGCCACAGTATGTCAGGTTAGGGAAGAGCGTGTCTGGGACTGTTGTAAGCAATGCGGGAGCACCACAGGGTACCGTTCTGGCTCTCTATCACAATTTACACTGCAGACTTTGAAAAAATACTTGAGTGATACAGCTGTTGTGGCATGTGTGAAGGGGGGGATTAAGGAGAGAACAGGGAGGTGGTGGCTGCCTTCTCAGACTGGAGTGAGAAAAATGGTCTGATTCTCAACGCATCCAAGACCAAGGAGATGATAATCAACTTTCACAGGAGTCCTTCCCATCCACCGGTCACACTAAATCGACAGGACATCAAAGTGGTAGAGTTATAAAAATAGGTAGGAGTCCACCTGGACCAAAGACTGGACTGGTCAGCTCAGGCCAATGCTGTCTGTAAGAAAGGTCAGAGCAATGTGCAGTTAAAACAGTCCCTCAGCCTGTCTTCACAATCCACAGTCCACCTCTGGACCAGCCGGGGAATGACTGGTTGTCTGTGTACGATGGGAGTATACACAGGCCTTAGGTGGACAAAGTTATGGTCAGAGTAGCCAAGGAGGGGAGGGCAGTTGGGTTGTATGCTCCTGTGGCATTGGCAAAGAAGTGATGCAAAGTTCTATTGTCTCTTGTGGGAAAGTTGATGTACTGGGTGAATGTGGGAAGTACAGTTTGGGGATTTGCGTGGTTGAAATCCCCAGTGATACGAAACAGAGCTTGGGGGTGCAAAGTGGGGTGTCTGATCTTTTATTTCTGTAATAATCACACATATATTCAGATGTATTAATGCATTAATAAGTTGAAACATCTGCATGCCATCAAGTAGCAGACCTTGGTGTTTACATTTGAGGGGGGGGTGTTTTAGTCCCACACACATCGCGGCAGAAGGATAAGTCCCCAAAACTTGGATAATCCAACAGAACACGGTGTGGTAATGTGTGGTCCAGGTGACGCGGTTAGTCTCCCAGTAATATATAAAAACGGAAAGAGCGCCACGCAACGGGCGCAGTCTTTTAATGTACTGTGATTTTTTATGATTTTAATGTCTGCCTTGTGCTATACAAATAATCTTGCCTTGCCTTACCACGACTGGATTGCTCATAAGCAGTCTGTCAAAACACAATGGAGAAAACGAGTTCAACATCCAATGCAAACGTTTGTTTTTTTGTTTTTAAAGCCAAGTCTGAACAGAATCCATAACTAACTCAACATGCAGGTAAGAAACACGCAAAGGCTGTGACTATTCCTGGGCTTTCTGATCAATAATTCTGCTGAGAAAGGTCACAGGAATACAAGTGGAAAGTCTAGTATGATCTGTGGAGTTATCGGATCATACTGAGACATGCATGATGACATAAGAAAAGACATTGTTGTGTGTGGTTTAGCTGCACTTACGTTGTGACTGGGAGACCACTTTGGCTCGACTGCGCCCTCTACTGTCCACCACCGAGGGACTGGCTCCACCCACGCTGCTGGAGCTGGTTCTCCTGGTCCGGACGCGACCTGTGTGGGGATAAGTCATACACAAAGTGGTGGAAGTTAAAAGTGCAGTGGTGTGAGGCCTTAAAGTTTTTGTGGATGAAGAGGAGTCTGGGCACACAGAATGAGCTGGACAATGAGATCCTGGAAAATAGAGGGGAAACAGACAGTTGGGTTCTTTTTACCTCATTCCCCTAAAGTGTTTACTCTTTCATCGTGATTTGCAGTTAAAGCTGAGGTACCTAACTTTAAAAGCACAACAATTTGAAATATGCTGTAAATCCCATGTCCCTAAATCAGTTTGGTTCCATCACTGGTTTTCACAAGCATGTATTTTAATGTATCTATTTATCTAACCATGTGTCAAAATATGGACTTTGGAATGCACTACAATGTTGTCAGTGACGTTGCCCGGCATGGCGAAGCCGGGACCCCACCCTGGAGCCAGGCCTGGGGTTGGGGCTCGTAAGTGAGCGCCTGGTGGCCGGGCCTTAGCCCACGGGGCCCGGCCGGGCTCAGCCCAAAGGGATGACGTAGGCAGGCCCTCCTGTGGACCCACCACCCACGGAGGGATCTGTGGTGGTTTGGTGCAGAGAGGACTGGGCAGCAGTCAAAGGTGGAGACCTTGGCGACCTCGGCGGGCAGGATACCCTTGGCCGGAGGTCAATGATTGACTTTGTTGTTGTGTCATCTGATCTCTGGCCACGTGCCTCGGACACTCGGGTGAAGAGAGGCGCAGAGCTGTTAACCAATGACCACATGGTCGTGAGTTGGATCCGCTGGCAGGGGAGGAAGCCGGTCAGACCTGGCAGACCCAAGCGTGTAGTGAGGGTCTGCTGTGAAGGTCTCGCCGAGTCCCCTGATAGACAAAATCGAGTCTGAGTAGACCATGTTCTCCACCTCTATCGCTGATGCGGCAGCTCGTAGTTGTGGTTGCTAGGTCTCTAGTGCTGGTCCCAGCAGCAACCCTCGAACCCAGTGGTGGACACCGGTAGTAAGGGATGCCGTCAGGCTGAAGAAGGAGTCCTATCGAGCCATGATGGTTCGTGGGACTGTCTAGTACCAGTTGGCCAAGCGTGCCACTGCCTGGGCTGTTGCAGAGGTAAAAACACGAGACTGGGAGGAGTTCGGAGAGTCCATGGAGCATGACTATCAGTCGGCCTCAAAGAGATTCTGCAAAACCGTCCGGCACCTCAGGAGTGGTAAGAAGTTCTTTGTCAACACTGTGTAAGGTGCAGGTGGAGAGCTGCTGACCTCGACTGGGGATACTGTCGTATGGTGGAAGGAATACTCCGAGGTTGTTGAGGTGGACTTCAATCTCCCTGGCTGAAGTCACCAAGGTGGTTGGCAGCCTCCTTGGTGGCAAGACTCAGGAAATGGATCTTGTGGGACTGCCTTGGCTAACACGTCTCTGCAACATCGCGTGGTGATTGGAGGCGATGCCAATGGAGTGGCAGACCGGGTGGGGGTCCCTCTCTACAAGAAGGGGGACCGGAGGATGTGTTTCAATTTTCGTGGGATCACACTCCTCAGCCTCCTCGGTAAGGTCTACTCCAAGGTACTGGAAAGGAGACTTCAACCAATGGTTGAATCCAAGGTACTGGAAAGGAGACTTCAACCAATGGTTGAATCTCGGAATCAGAAGAAGCAGTGTGGTTCTTGTCCCGGCCTCAGAACACTGGACCAGCTCTATACTCTCCATCGGATACTCGAGGGTTCATGGGAGTTTGCCCCACCTGTCCACATGTGCTTTGTGGATTTGGAGAAAGCATTCAACTGTGTTCCCCGGGGTGTCCTTTGGGGGGGTTCTCCAGGAGTACGCATGGGTGCGCATCGCTGGCAGTAAGTCAGAACAGTTCCCGGTGCATGTTGGCCCATTGTCACCGGTTTAGAATTTCTAGGAGACCACAGAATTTCATCTCTGCTGTTTGCGGACGATGTTGTCCTGTTGGCTCCAACGAACCAGGTGCTGAGGAGTCAGATCCTTCCAGGCAGTTGCTCCTCACCTTTGGAATGAGCTTCCAAATGAGCTCTGCGCATGTTAGTTTGTTGATGATTTCCTGTCCAAACTCAAGACCTTTTTGTTTAGAAAGGCTTTCTTGCCTCATTGTACAAAGGCCTCTGAACTGTCTTGATGAGGGCCGTCTTCGGTATTTTCGTTTTTAAATTTGACTTGTACAGTATATGTATTATTATTATTATCTGAATGTTTTTAAATGTGAAGCGCTTTGAGATCCTGGTCTGTGAAAGGCGCTATACACATAAACTCCACTTACTTAATTAGTCTCGTCTTAAGACCCACATTTATTCTGGTCTGTCTCTGGTCTCTCGGGCTGGTCTCTCTCTCTCTGGTCTTTATCGGGTCTCTCGCTCTCTCAGGTCTCTCACTTGGGTCTCTCTCTCTCGGTTCTCTCACTCCGATCTCTCTCTCTCGGGTCTCTCTCTGGGGTCTCTCTCTGGGGTCTCTCTCTCTGGCCTCTCTTTCTAATTATTCTGTATTGTGTCTGAATTGTTGACTCTTGATTATTCCATAATCCAGGATGTGAATATGTAGTTTGTTTTGTGTCCTGTTATTGTGATAGGAAAATAATTATAATTGAAAAAGGGGCAATTGTTTTGAGCAAATCATAAACCCCTAAACCAGGGGTGCTCAATACGTTGATCGCGATCTACCAGTAGTATTGGTAGATCGCATTACATTACCGTTTATGCATTTGCGTGTAGACAGAGATAACCGGAGTTTTGCGTTTTCGCACGTCACAGTATGCCCCCAAAACAACAACAAACAAAACGTGCGACCTCTGATCACTGAAGCATGGATCTTACTGCCTTAAAAACGGTTCACTGCTGCGAGTGGTTCACTGCTGCGAGTGGAATTTTTTTTGGACAACTCTAGTTTACTCACTGTGAATTTTTTAAGTCACTCGTTTAAATGAATGGGGCTCGTGCCGGCTGACGCATGCGCAAATGCGGTTTTTCACATTTTCCAGCCCCCGTGGCCATTTTGAATCACTCCATGAGATCCCAATTTAGAACGGCGGAGATAGGCGTGACTACGTCCGTTAATATATACAGTCTATGGTCTTCACCCTGAGTTTCTACTATGACTGTAAGTGCCGCTACAGAAGTACCGGCGTCTGCATCAAAGCTCTGCCCACTTCTGTGGTTTTTCCCCAACGCAGGACGTCAGAGGACGCACATGTTTGGAATGTTATGAATGTCATTGAAAACGCAAATGTTCGGTTATGTGTGGATGCAAATTAATTCATAAATCATGCGGTTTTGCATGTACATCAACATACATTGTAGATATAAAGAATCCTCAACGTATTTAGAAATAAATCTTTTGCATTTTTGTAGTAGGTAGATCATTTTGACTTGATCATTTTATATGTAGCTTGCATGCTGAAAAAGTGTGAGCACCCCTGCCCTAAACGCTGGGTTTAAAAAAAACCATGTCAAGATTTACATTACCTAAACTTTAAAACGTTCTGTGTGGAAGCTGAAGTATAGACAACCAACCATGTCTCCCTAAAACCCATGCTTTTTCAATTTTGGGATTGTAAAGGCCTCTTCATACACTATTAAGAGATCCTTTATTCATCCCACAATGGAGAAATTTCAGTGTTGCATCACCAGTTACAGAACAGTAGGAATTAGGAGTACACAGCGCAAGATAAGTGAACAATAACTCTAGACTAAAATAAAATGAAAAATCTCTAGCATAATAAAGAAGCAAGCATCAAATCTCTAACCTTACCCTAATAAAGAAGCAAGTATCTCTTTAGCATAGTAAAGAAGAGATTTTAGTGCACACTTGCACACTAGAAATCTTAAGGAAATATTTGTATGAAAATCTTTATGCATGTCTTATATCTATCTTTATTTCTCTTAGAGCTTGTTTGCACTTTGAGCCAAAGCAATGGCAATAAAATAATTCAGATTTTGTTTCATAATTATCTTTGAACAGACACTGCCCCATATGGCATGCAGGCTCCACAGTAGGCCTTCAGACCCAGTCCTAGAGATTGAGAAGGGGTTAGGGTTACACCACATGCAGACGCTCCATGCACAGGTTCCACAGAAGACACTTGAGAAGAGAAGCAGGAGGTTTTGAGGACAGGGAGGCAGAGAAGCTACAAGCCTTACCATCCGCTTTACCCAGAGTGCCATCTGCAGGTATTAAAGAGGCGGTGCAGCAGAGAGGGGAAGCAGAGGTGTACAGAGGAACAAGTTAGTATAGCTTTGTGAGGGGAGAAGGCAGGAGGGTAGAGGACTGGAGAGTGGGAGAATGGCCAGCAGTTGAAAAGACAGGTCAGTTCACATAATGTGTAGATTTTTTAAACATTTATTATTACTAGATACATGAAATGTTGAATTGACGTTTAAAGAACAAATATTCTGCATTATTTGTGTCCATTAAACATCACAATAAGACTATTTACTTAGGGTAGGAGGGTTACTGTAATTTAATGTTGTATAATGTTAAATCATATTTTCAGTAGAAAATGGTGAAACAAGTATGAACGGTAAATCTATGCTGCAACCAGAGGGAGGAAGGAGGAGAATTTGTTTTGTCCAAATTTGACAATTACAGATTGCTACTAAATCAATGCAGTTGTAAAGAACACAATTTCACTTTGACAAAACCTAATGTATGGCAAATAAATATTTCTGAAAGGTCCTAATGGTACAATGACATTCTACTATCACAGAACCATATATATACTGTATATATCTACAGTATATACCACCTGTATATACTGTAGATTATATATATATATATATATATATATATATATATATATATTACAGTACAGACCAAAAGCTTGGACACACCCACCCATCTCAAGAGTTTTTTATCTTCATGACTATCAAAATTGTAGATTCACACTGAAGGCCTCAAAACTATGAATAAACTCATGTGGAATTATGTACATACCTAAAAAAAAAAGTATGAAACAACTTAAAATATGTCTTATATTCTGGGTTCTTCAAAGTAGCACCTTTTGCTCTGATTACTGCTTCGCACACTCTTGGCATTCTTTTGATGAGCTTCAAGAGATAGTGACCTAAAATGCTCTTCCAACAGTCTTGAAGGAGTTCCCAAAGATCCTTAGCACTTGTTGGCCCTTTCGCCTTCACTCTGTGGTCCAGCTCACCCCAAAACCATCTCGATGGGGTTTAGGTCCGGTGACTGTGGAGGCCAGGTCATCTGGCCCAGCACCCCACCACTCTCCTTATTGGTAAAATAGCCCTTACACAGCCTGGGTGTGAATCTACAGTCAATAGTCATGAAAAGAAAGGACACTCATTGAATGAGAAAGTGTGTCAAAACTTTTGGTCTGTACTGTAGAAGAACAATGCTAACCTGCTAGCTCAATAAAGCCCTATAAAAAAGTGCTCATGGACAAAGTTTTGCTCCAACTCGGTCTGGCTCCTATTGTCTTACATTGGAAAGCCCTGTAGCACTCAGTCAGTCCACTCCTTATAGTGAAAGACATATAGTGAAAGACTCCTGTCACAGATGAACTACTGGAACCCATGGGAACACTTATGGGTTAGTATGTCTCAAAATTCACGTTTCTGATATCAACAAATGTTTCATTTTTTCTGATAGGCCATTGACTATGAAAGTACTGTACCTGGGATAAGGTGGGTATGCATACAATAGTTTACAGCACCAACATAAACACACAATGCACTAGTTTTTCATAACTAAAAGATAATTAAATGTTTCCAAACGCCCTAGGCATATTCACCTAAAGAGGCGTAGGATCCCGGAGGTAGCGTGGAGGCGGAGCTAAACGGCGAGGGGGCGGGGACAGTGGTCAGGCGTGTTTTAGCCGTGGTGGCTGCGTTTACGTCGATATCACTGCGAGAGCGTTGCAGAGAGCCAGACTGGGAAGACCCCCGGGAGCCCATCAGCTTACCTGAAACACAGGCACACACAGACAGACAATCAACACATAGAACACACAAATCAACAGTAGAAATCAGTGATGATCCAAAACAACGTTGCTGGACAAAGGCTCCTACTTGATGTGTTGGAAATTATGGAATTGTCTGTGTTAGAACTGTTTCATTTGAATCTGTCAACAACTTTGTAAAGTCCTCCAAGACGACTGCTATTGCAATCGTCTTGGAGGATAATAATCAATCAATCAATCAAAGTTTATTTGTAGAGCGCCTTTCATACACATGGCAACACAAAGCGCTTCACAGTCCACATCACAAATCATCACATAAAACAAACACCAGAATCACAATTAAAACATTAAAATCACACAAAAGATTAAAACACAATTAAAACATTAAAATCACACAAAAGAATAAAACCATTAAAACTTTCAAAATTACACAAGAAATTTAAAAAAATAAATAAATGACAGCAGTGCATTAAAAATGGAGATAAAATCCTTCAGTTGTATGCACAGGCAAACAGAACAGTCTTTAACCTGGATTTGAACATTGACAGAGTAGACGCCTCCCTCACATTTTCAGGGAGATTGTTCCAGATCTTAGCTGCATGGATCTGAAACGCAGCCTCCCCATGTTTGGTTCTCACTCTGGGCACCAGCAGGAGGCCAGTCCCTGTGCTCCTCAGAGTCCGGGCCGGTTCATATGACACCAACATGTCACTAATGTATTCTGGTGCAAGGCCATGGAGAGACTTGTACACAAGCAGAGCCGTTTTAAAATCTATTCTTTGAGCCACAGGAAGCCAGTGCAGAGACCTGAGGACCGGACTAATATGGTCATACTTCCTGGTTCCTGTCAGGACTCTAGCTGCTGCATTTTGGATGTACTGCAGCTGCTTACAGGTCTGTTTGGACAGACCTGTAAGCAGGCCATTGCAGTAGTCTAGCCTGCTGGAGACAAATGCATGGACAAGAATCTCCAAGTCTGCCCTGGACACTATATTTCTAACTTTGGCAATGTTCTTCAGATGGTAAAAAGCTGTTGATGTTATTGATTTTATGTGGCTATTGAAATTTAGGTCTGAGTCCAGTATTACCCCCAAATTTCTGACCTTGTCTGAAGGAAGTAGGGAGAGAGACTGAAGTTGACAAATGACGCCCTCTCTTTGTTTCTGGGGACCAAAGACAATGATTTCGGTTTTGTCTGTATTTAGCTGGAGGAAATTATTTTGCATCCAGTCACTGATCTGTTGGATACAGTGAAGGAGCAAATCCAGTGGTCCATGTTCTCCTGCAGTCAGTGAGACATAGATCTGAGTGTCGTCAGCGTAATTGTGGTAGGACACTTTGTTTCTTTGTATTAACTGACCTAACGGCAGCATGTAGAGATTAAATAGGAGAGGTCCCAGGATCGACCCCTGTGGTACACCACAGGTCAGGGCCACATCATCTGAGACGCAGTCTCCAATCTCCACAGAGTACTTCCTATCCTCCAGGTAAGACCTAAACCAGTCTAGGGCTGTGCCAGTGACACCAGCCCAGTCCTCCAGTCTCTGCATGAGGATCTCATGGTCGACAGTGTCGAACGCGGCACTAAGATCTAACATGACCAAAACTGTGACTTTACCTGCATCAGTGTGAAGTCGAATGTCGTTTGTTACCTTCACTAGAGCGGTCTCAGTGCTGTGGTGGGGTCTAAACCCAGACTGGAACATATCAAAAGAATTATTCATTGTTAAAAATTCAGTAAGTTGTTGGGAGGCCACTTTTTCAAGAATTTTTCCAATAAATGGCAGATTCGATATGGGGCGATAATTTTGAAGTCCCGCAGGATCCAGACTGCTCTTTTTTAGGAGAGGTCTTATGACTGCTGTTTTTAGGGCCATAGGAAATGTTCCTGACGACAGAGACATGTTTACTATTTGTGTCAGTGAAGGTAACAAACTGCTCAGGACGGACTTCAGAAATTTAGAGGGCAATATATCCAGGCTACATGTGGAGGAGCTCAGACTCATGATTATCTTTTTGACAGTTTCAGTATCCACAGGTGCAAAGTGAGTTAGCTCAGAAAGCTTCTCTGGCTGTTGCATTGTTATACGTGCTGTGGAGGTGATAGTGTTTTTGATTCCTTGTACTTTGTCATCGAAAAACTGTGCGAACTCATTACACCTAGATTTAGAGGAAAATTCTAGGGGCAACTTTACAGGGGGGTTCGTTAATCTACCAACTGTTGAAAACATAACACGAAAATTGTTACTGCAACCTCCAATAATGTCAGAAAAATACATTTCTCTTGTTCTACGTAGAACCCGGTTAAATTCACCCAACTCATCTTTAAAGATTTCATAATCGCCCTGGAAATTGGACTTTCGCCACTTCCGTTCGGCCCTCCGGCACTCTTGCTTCTGTGCCCTAACCGAGTCTGCCTTAGTCCATGGGGCCTTTTTCTTACTGGTAACTATTTTAACCGTCACAGGAGCAATGGCGTCCAGAACAGTCAGAACACTGGTGGTGACAGAGTTATACAATTCATCAACAGTAGAGCATGGAGTTTTCTCAAAATTTAGCATTCCCATGAACAGTTCACTTGTGTTTTCATGTATGTGTCTTCTTCTAACAGTTGTAAATTCAGCTGGTGGTTTGCTAGCAAAACACATGTCAAAAAATACACAGAAATGATCTGACAAAGCAACATCAACTACATTAACATTTGATACATTAACCCCCTTTGTAATTAGCAGGTCAAGAGTGTGCCCCCTGCTGTGGGTGGGGCCACTCACGTGCTGAATGAAACCAAAGGTCTCAAATACAGAAGCCAGCTCCTTTGCATTTCTGTCATCAACATTATCAACATGTACATTAAAATCACCTGTAATAACTAAACTATCAAAATCTGTGCACACGAATGAAAGTAGTTCAGTAAAATGGTCAATAAAATCGCAACATGACTGTGGTGGCCTGTACAGGACAATGAAAAGAGTAGAAGATTGCTTTTGTTCCATTTTAAAAGAAATATACTCAAACGATGAAAAATTTCCAAGGGGCATTCTATGGGAGACAAAGTGCTCTCTAAAAACTGCAGCTATGCCTCCCCCCCTTTTGTTTTCTCGTATTTCGGATTCGAATTTAAAATTGGGTGGTGTTGCTTCTATTAGAACTGCATTTCCTGTATTTTGGTCCAGCCCTGTTTCAGCCATAAGCATAAAATCAAGATCATAAGAAGTGATAAAATTATTAATTAAAATGATTTGTTACATAGAGATCTGACATTAAGCATAGCAAGTTTAAAAATAACGTCAGAGTCGATTAATGTGGTTGATTGATTTCTACAGGGAACAGAAATTAGATTTGCAGAGTTGGACCGTCTAACTGCTGTCCTGTTTTGATTTCGTTTTTTAGAATTTAAAAACATTTTTGAGCTGGTGCGAGGAACACACACAGTCTCAATTGGCCTAAAATGTGAAAACCCTTGTTGTTCTTTAGCTCCCAGAGTCAGAAGGGAGTCAGCACAGTTCAGTGTTTGGACTGGTAATGCACTGCCAGACGGACAGGGAGCAGTGTTTGCACCGTTGTACTCACCCGGTGCTGGTGAGCAGGAGGCGGGGGAGTGCGGTGGGGTCCGAGGGGGCTCAGATGTAAACAGTCACGCCCCCCTCGGGGAACGCTGAACAACATAACGTATGTAATCCATCAACAGGCTGCTACCGTATCTGTTTGGGTGTAATCCGTCTGGACGATAGGCTTCGTAACGTTTCCAGAAAAGGGCAAAGTTATTCACAAAGACAAAGTTAAAAGAGCTGCATGTAGCCTGGATCCACATATGCAGCGCCACAACACGACTGTAGAGGCAGTCACCTCTGTTTACAGTCTGGATTGGACCAGAAATAAAAACAGATAGTCCGGAGGATTGAAGGAGGTGGAACAGATCCATAAAATGTTTCTTCGTGACTTCTGACTGCTGAAGTTTCATGTCGTTAATTCCCACATGCACGACTACCTTGGAAACGGTATCAGGCAGGGACTGAAGCAGAGGAGGGAGACGGATGAGCAGGTCTGGTACAGTAGCTCCGGGAATACAGCGAGTGACCGCGTTGAAGAAGCGGACGTGCCTCACGATGGAATCTCCAATAATCAGAGTGGTCGGGGCGAAGAGTGGCCTCGGAGAAGGAGCTCGGTGGACGGAACCAGCGGGTTCACCCGAAGCAGGACCCGAGCCTGAGCGCCGCTGAACACATGGAGAGGAGGAGCGGGGGTGCTGACTCTCAGCTACAGGCGACCCACGCTGTGTGCTCGGGGACGCTGGAGCGGTGAGAGGGGCTGGCTCTGGGCGCTGCTGCTGACCCGGTGGAGGTGAGCGATGGTAATGATGGCTCGCTACCCCAGTCTGAGGCTGCTGCACTGGGGTCAAAGAAGGGGAACAGGCCAACATGGCTGGTGGACCGCTCTTTCGCCTGAGGACTGCTTCCTTTAGGAGCGTTTTCCTCGCAGTGGACTTGGATCCTCGAGCAGTAGAGTACGCTGCAGTGTCCAGGGATTCTGCTGAGGGGGCCGGGATGTCAGTGGAGAGGGCTGCATAGCGGTTTGCCAGACTCAGGACATGGGCCACGGCGCAGGATGGCTCCTCGGAATCCGCGGGCTCGTTATTCGTAAGCGGGCGCTTAGGTGTAGAACAGGAGGGTCCGGAGCTGACGGATCTCTCCCACACGACAGTGTCACAATATGCAGCGCTCAGTGACATAAGCCGTGAGTGCTGCCCACCAGCGACTTCAAAAAGTTTGGGATACTAGAGATTGTTTCTCATTCAACTCTGCGGTGAGACGAAGGACTTCTTTTCGTAGATCTGCAATGGTGGCACGGTCGCTCTCACGGAGCTCCAAGGTGAGGCGACTAATATTGTGCATGTTTGAGCCAATTTCATTGTCACTTTCCATGTCCTCGTTAGCTTGTGTTAGCCTCTGTGCTACTAGTGGGTTTCAGTCGGGACTAAGTGCTATTTGCTGAAACCACTGAATTAAAAAGATAAAACACTCAGATATATTAAAAAACTGAACAATAAAAACGCGCTAAAAAGTTGTTAAAAGTTTACTAAAAAGGTGCACAGAGCAGCCCTGCAGTACTGCTTACTTTGACACACCTAATAACCATAACACTCAGAAGTGCTGCGGACACATGAGTGTGTAAGATGGCGAGAGAGCAGGTAGGCCCTCTGGGTGGGAATTCAAGTTTAAAAAGAATACAGATGGAACAATATAGGTTTTCACTCATTGCAAAAAGGAGTTCCATTTCCACCGCAGCAATTCAAACCTAAAGTACAATCTACAGGCAAAGCATACGCAGACCACCAACCGAACGCAAGCCAATGAGCAAACTCACCACGGAGAAATTAACCAATGCATTTACTAAGTGGGTTTCAATGGACTGATTCAGGGCTGGACTGGCCATCTGGCGTACCGAGCAATACCCAAAGGGCCGATGCCCATATTTTCTGCCAGTCTGAGAAATGTCTAAAATGCATAATGTCAGCCAATGGCATGCATGCATACAGTATATATATATATATATATATATATATATATATATATATATATATATATATAGTGCCTTGCGAAAGTATTCGGCCCCCTTGAACTTTTCAACATTTCGCCACATTTAATTTTTTTGTCAAGAATCAACAACAAGTGGGACACAATCATGAAGTGGAACGAAATTTATTGGATCATTTAAACTTTTTTAACAAATAAAAAACTTAAAAGTGGGGCGTGCAATATTATTCGGCCCCCTTGCGCTAATACTTTGTAGCGCCACCTTTTGCTGCAATTAGAGCTGCAAGTCGCTTGGAGTATGTCTCTATCAGTTTTGCACATCGAGAGACTGGAATTCTTGCCCATTCTTCCTTGCAAAACAGCTTGAGCTCAGTGAGGTTGGATGGAGAGCGTTTTTGAATAGCAGTCTTCAGCTCTTTACACAGATTCTCGATTGGATTCAGGTCTGGACTTTGACTTGGCCATTCTAACACCTGGATACGTCTATTTGTGAACCATTCCATTGTAGATTTGGCTTTATGTTTTGGATCTTTGTCCTGTTGGAAGATAAATCTCCGTCCCAGTCTCAGGTCTTTTGCAGACTCCAACAGGTTTTCTTCCAGAATGGTCCTGTATTTGGTTCCATCCATCTTCCCATCAATTTTAGCCATCTTCCCTGTCCCTGCTGAAGAAAAGCAGGCCTAAACCATGATGCTGCCACCACCATGTTTGACAGTGGGGATGGTGTGTTCAGGGTGATGAGCTGTGTTGCTTTTACACCAAACATATCGTTTTGCATTGTGGCCAAAAAGTTCGATTTTGGTTTCATCTGACCAGAGTACCTTCTTCCACATGTTTGGTGTGTCTCCCAGGTGGCTTGTGGCAAACTTTGAACGAGAGTTTTTATGGATATCTTTGAGAAACGGCTTTCTTCTTGCCACTCTTCCATAAAGGCCAGATTTGTGCAGTGCCCGACTGATTGTTGTCGTATGGACAGACTCTCTCACCTCAGCTGTAGTTATCTGCAGTTCATCCAGAGTGATCATGGGCCTCTTGGCTGCATCTCTGATCAGTCTTCTCCTTGTTTGAGATGAAACTTGGAGGGACGGCCGGGTCTTGGTAGATTTGCAGTGGTCTTATACTCTTTCCATTTCAATATAATTGCTTGCACAGTGCTCCTTGAGATGTTTAAAGCTTGGGAAATCTTGGGAAATCCAAATCCGGATTTAAACTTCTCCACAACAGTATCTTGGACCTGCCTGGTGTGTTCCTTTGTCTTCATGGTTCTCCATGCGCTTTAAACAGAACCCTGAGACTATCAAAGAGCAGGTGCATTTATACGGAGACTTGATTACACACAGGTGCATTCTATTTATCATCATCAGTCATTTAGGACAACATTGGATCATTCAAAGATCCTCACTGAACTTCAGGAGTGAGTTTGATGCACTGAAAGTAAAGGGGCCGAATAATATTGCACGCCCCACTTTTCCGTTTTTTATTTGTTAAAAAAGTTTAAATTATCCAATAAATTTCGTTCCACTTCACAATTGTGTCCCACTTGTTGTTGATTCTTGACAAAAAAAATATTTTTTATATCTTTATGTTTGAAGCCTGAAATGTGGCGAAATGTTGAAAGTTTCAAGGGGGCCGAATACTTCGCAAGGCACTGTACATGGAAAAGTACCATCTAAGAAAAAAACTTTCAAAGTTAGGCTGAATGGAACGAATGCAGGCATGTTCTTGAATTGAATAAAAAATAAATACTAAATGGTGCAATGCACAAAGTCAATTCTAAGCAAGTTAAAAAATCTTGAAATAAGAAAAAAAACTTGTTTTTTGTATAAAAAGAAAAAAAAATCTTGTCTAGCAAAATTTCCTTGAGAATAAAATTCTTATTTTAAGAAATTAATTCTAGCTTTTTCTTATTAAGAAAAATGTGCTAAAAAAAAGTCATATTTGGACCCAAAATAAGCAACAATTACTTATTGAGGCTCCTCTTTCTTGATTCAAGAAAAAATAAGAAAACAAGGAATCTTAAAAAAAGAAAAAAGATCTACACTGTATTCAATTGAATTCAATGTAGTTTCACTTCATTGTATTTGTGTATCGTCCAAAACCACAGCAGCAGGTGCCGAGGAGGATTTAACTCAATAGTCATCATAACTGTTTCTTACTAAATAAACACAGTATGTACATGTTCACCACAGGTTGTTCTAGTTGGATCAAACCAAAGTTATGATGTTACACAAACCAAATGACATCATGTTAATCCAACATCTTCACATGGTGTCAAGTCGACACAATTAATTATTGCTATAGAAACGCATTTGATTTGGGTGGAAATTATGTCCATAATTTTATTACATTCATTTAACAAATAATTTGTTTGAGTTTAGAATATACACGTTGAACACAGGAAATGCAATAACAACAAACGCATGAAGCCATATAAGGAGCAGGATGACCACTGTCCAGAAATGTTAATAAATGTCCTTAAATGTCCCAGATCATCACTGTCCTTAGACTCTCCTGCATCAGAGGAACCACAGAAACCCACCTGTGACACTGACACAATACAACATTATTGGCCTCGTGCACGTGATGCACGTCTCCAAGATCATATTTAATGGGCACATATGTTACATGTTTGTACAAAACTGTGATATGGAGTATAGTCCACATTCCACAATGGCGTCTGATATTGTTATGGTATTGAGCTCACTGTGAGCTCCTCACCCCCTCCCTCCTGTTCCTGCTGCTGTGGGCGTGGCTGTTCCTGCTCCCTGTTCCTGTCCTGCACACCTGCCCCTCATCTCTAATCATCTCTGTGTTTAAGCCTGGACATTTCCTCAGTCCTCTGTCAGATCCTCAGTCTACATCGTGAGACAACACCTCAGGCCTTTTGCTATTTTTGCTAAGTTTTTGAAGCCCTCGTCTGATCTCATGTTTTGTGCTGATTTCAGAAACTTGTGCCAGTTGCAGCCACTTCGCTCCTGCTCCAGCTCCTACTCCTGCTTCTGCTCCAGTTCTGGCCCACCCTACCAGCCCAACCTTCATTCCTGTTAATAAACTCTGTTAACCTGTCCTTCGCATTTGTGTTCACTTCTTTGATCATAACATATGTATTGCTTATATTAATTTGCTTAAAACCAGTCTACAACTAGAAAAAGGCTGCAAAAACAAGCATAAAACAAGCAAATTTATCCTTAATCCAACATTTATTTAAGAATTATTTCCTGAAATTATCCAATAATAAGAATATTTTGCTTAAATCTGACCTTTTTATTGGGAGAAAATTGCTTAAATAAAGAAATATATTCTTGGTTTTTTAGTAACAATATTTTGCTTGAATCTGACCTTTTCATTAGAAGAATATTGCTTAAATCGAGAAATACATTCTTGGTTTTTTCCCATTATACATTAGGAAAAAAATCTTAAAACAAGAATTCTAGACAAGGAAAAAAGTCTTACCCCATTGGCAGATTATTTTTGCTTAATATAAGCAGAATTGACCTCTTAGGGTTTTTTGTCTTATTTCTTGCAAGGGACTTTTTGCAGTGTAGCATTTGGATTTGAAGTATTTTCCAAAATAATGCAAAGCTACTTACTTCTGTTCATACTCCCTCCAATCACACTTTTCACAGAAAGTGGGCGACTGAAAGAAACACAAATTAATATTAGTGTTTACCAAAAAAACCACCCCTGGTTTTCAGCAATAAGTTCTCCAGATACTTACTGTACACTTAAAACCAGGGAAGGATTTTCAGATACTAATACTGTATAAATGGAATAAATGGGATTCCATTTACAAGCCTAGAGCGGGGAGTGGGGTCTCACTTGAGGCTCTCCTGGGACGAGGAGGACGAGCGGTCGGACTGAGGCAGGGACACAATGCTGTCGGAGCTCTTCAGGTGGGACTGCAAGGCCTTCTGGTATGTGGACTCCAGAGCCTGGAACAGGTGCTCGGCCTCGCGGCTGTAGTGCCCATGAAAACCCCAATAACACCTGCAACACCACCAAACGCCTTCTTTACACACCACTCTTGAGTTATGGCACTTTCAAATAACCACCACATTCTGTCGCAAATAAAGACAAACTTCAAAGAGAAACAACATTATTTTAGCAACACTGTAGCTTTATTCGATAAGACAGAACCAATTATCTTTACTTACAAAACTTTCATTAAAGTTCAATTCAAATACATTTCTTTGTATAGAATGTTGAGGTCCTGGAGCATCACCACTGTCTTTAGAACTTCCCGCATCGGCAAAGAAAAACAAAACAAAAAAGTCTATACACTTGCTTAATTTCTATGATTTGTATGCTTTGTAAAAGATAACTGCATTAGCTTTTAAGAGAGGCCCAAACAAGTGGCAATTTATATAACCTATAAATGTGTTATACCTTTTTATGTTATGTAAATCCTTTACAGTATGCGTACTACATATTAAATTTGACAGTAAACAACAATAATTGTCATTGTGTGGACTTTTTGTCCACACCATCTTTCACCTACTTTCTTTTTGATACGAGTTTGACTTCATGTCTGTTCAGTTTCTTGCATGCCCTAATGTGTTTCACCTGTGTTAGTAGGGTCAATAAATGAAATTGTTCTATAGGATATAGAATTCATAGGGTCTCAGAAATTATGTTGGAAAAAAATCGGACAGTGCTTTGATACAAACTGCTCCAGTCACAGAGTACAAAGAGAAGGAGTGGAGTACCTACAGCTCGGTTGCAAACGATTATGTCTTGTTTACTGTCAAACCCTATGAGAGCGCAACTGTGCTATTTGATGGATACATTATTGTGGTGACAAAATTTGCTGGGAAAAAAGGAGGACTTCTTGACGAATGCAGGCAAACAAGCAGGCGCTTATCCACCTGATCGTGGAACGAATGCGGCAGAAAGAAAGACAAAATGCAGACGTTGAGATTGCAAAGGCAGCCATCAATAAGTCTCCTTTCAAATATATCTTCTTGTTCTCTTGCTGTTCCTTGTATATGTTTCCAAATGTACTGCACTTTGTTTCCGCTCTGACAAGGAAAAATCCTACATCTACAATATAAAGGTTCTCAAGTAGGTGCTTGGATAAGTGGTTTTTAATGATCTGTTGTTTCTGCATGATGAGATGCGATCTGGTGTCCAAAGTATTTGGAATAGGAAAGAAATTGGGGTTCCAACAAATCGTTGTTTGTCAAGAGAGAAAAGACAATGACAGACTGTTCAAAAGCATTTTCTCTACCAAAGCAAAGTCAGGATGTTGTGGAAACCAACTCAATATACAATATATAACAATATTTTTACAGAATAAATAACCCTCCAAAAAAGTCTTTCAAAGTCTTTTTTTTTATTAATTTAGTCAGTTCAAGTAGGAACAAGGGTATTCAGTCACATTTGTTTCCTGTTTTTGAAGTAATTAAACATATTTCCTTTCTAGTTAGTGCTTCACACGTAAATGGAAAATGACTTGTAAATCAAAAAAACTCATCTTCAAAATTTGACACTTTCCCATACTCAGATTTTGTCCAACTTTTAGGATGTTAAAGACTAGACCCAACCTAGCGCACAACCACAAACAACAAAAACAAAAATGCATTTATTTTGGGTCAATGTGTGTATTTAAGCCATGTCCTGCATTTGAGTTATTTGTTTTCACCTAATGACAATAATGAATCTGGTAGTTTACGTGACTGTTTTTCTTTTAGCGTCGAGCTAATCTCACTGGTAAAGCAACATGTCGGGCTGTAGTACTAAAAAGGTCTTGTTATGATTCTTAAATCATTAATGTCAAAGTAAGAAATGAAACAAGGATTTCTATCGAGGATGCCTTTGTGAAAAAGGTATTGGTTATAGATTTGTTGTTTCGTAATAGTTGAAGTGAATTGAAGTACTACTTTTGACCAGATTTGTACATATTGCTCCTTTAACATGTTCCATGGAGTTGTGTCATACATAAGCATCTTGATTTATTGATGTCACAACTCTGCTCTAAAGTTGTGACAGACCAAAAATACATGATGTGAAAACTAGTCATAAATAATTAGTTACATTGATTTTCCATTCAAATCGTGAGGTTGAAGAGTAAGGTATCCCAGCTTTAAGCATGTCTACACACATGCTTCAGCCACCTTAAAGTTCATTTGGCAAAAGTCTTGGTTTTACTATTGTTTTATAGTTTAGTACTGTTATTATTTATTATACGCTTTTAATTTATACATTTTTAACACAAGGGAAAGTGTGAGGGAGGAGTAATGAAATGATACAATTAAGTAAAGGAAAAAAAAGAAGTAAAAAAAAAGGGTAAGAGCAGAAAACTTACTTTCGTGCAATTGACCTAGCCTCAGAGTCGGCGTCGTGGATTCCTTTCTTGATGGTCTCCGTCAGCACAGCCACATGTCTGGGATAGAAGGGGAACATGTTCAACACTTCTGGTCTCTACAGGGAATAGGACGAGGCACAGTTCTCTGGTCCTCCGCTTATGTACAGCCTCTTACAGTATGTGGTTGTCATGGAGACGTGGGTTCCATAATGATTTTTTAAAAAAGATTCATTTATTTTCTCTGCGTCATCAGACATGCAGCCAGCCAGCTCTAAGCTGACGTAAATACTCAACAGCTTAAATGTTAATGCTAATATCTGTAAAGGGCATCATTACAGAGTGCAAGCAGAAAAAAGGTTAATAACTATACAGGGGTCCCTCAATAATCGAGGAGGGTTGCTTTCTTAAAATAACCCACAATAAGTGTGAAGTTCAGTTTTTGACACAGCAAGTTCTATGTTATAAGTCAGTATAACCCCTCACCACACGCTTTTCTAACCACCTGAACTCACGACTACTGAAGTGTGATTGCGGACATATCAACCTGCAGCTGTCAAAAGCCATACATACTAGGGGTGGGAACCTAAGGGTACCTCACGATACGATACGATACACGATACAAAGCTCACGATAACGATATAATCACGATAACGATATCACGATAACGATTTTACCACGATATGACGTTTATCGATATATTGGTCAGAAATATACAATATGCCAATTTATGGCATAAATAAACGAAAAACTACACTTTATTTCATGATAACTGGAATGGAGATTCGTAATGTAGCCATATATTAAGTATTGATACCATTTTTTTTTTAAATTTGTTAAAAAAACCAAACAAAAAATCATTTTTTTTTTTTTTTTTTAAATCGATATCGATACTTGGCAAATGCATATCGATAATCAAATCGCGGGAGAAAGTATCGCGATATATTGAAAAATCTATATATCGTCACACCCCTAATGTTTTTGTGGCTTTAAATAAAGGCAACTGCCATGTTATACTAGCGGTTATATAATGTTGTATATAATATTGATTTTGAGATGGGATCGAACCCAAGGCCTTGTGCACTGTGCCGCCCACTGGGTGTTTGCGTCTGTCTTCAATTCAAATACATTTATATGCTTAAGTCTCAACAGCAGTCGCCTCAGAGGACTTGACAAACCAGATCAGAGAATCAAACAGTTTCAACACAGGAAATGCAAACGTCCCAGATCATCAATGTTCTACGACCCTCCTGCATCGTTAAGGAAATACTCAACAACGAAAAAACGTCTCGTCTTGTAATGCTTTTGTATGGTACTTTTCGGCATTTTTGTTCCAAATTGTCGTGTGTCAAGAAGGAATTTTGAAGTTTGCTTTTTCCAACCGTGCAAGCTTGTCAAAACATGTTATTTTGTTCTGTAAAATTGTGTTGAACAGGATTTGAAATACACATACATCAGTCAATACATATTGACTGATCGATATTCTTACCTTTCTAACGTGTTTGTGTGCCACTCTTGTAACATAAGGTCTAAGAATTCGTAACAGCGTCTGCAAGGAAAACACAAGGACACTATTAAGAACAACACATTACAGTAGCGTTAACAACACGAGCGGATAAGCACAAGTGTTTTGAATAGCTCATGACAAAAGTACTTTATAGTCTGTATTCCTTTTTGAAGAAACTCATTACAAAAGATTTAGAAAAAAGATATATATAGTTTTAACAGTTACTATAGCTAGCAGGTAATCATTTTCAGCTGCCTTCCAGAGCTACAGAGGCAGATGCATATTCTTACCGTCTGACAGCTACGGACTTGGAGGTGCAGTTGCTGGTGATTATGGGGATGAGACGTGGGTAATGTGTATGCTGCAAAAGAACAAAATCAGTTTAGTTTGACCCTATTACAGAAGAGAAATGCTTGGAGCTGAGCCGAGAGGACACCGACCCTGAGTATGAGGCGGATGGCTGCCATGCCCGACGTGGCCATGACTTTGGCACTGTTGGGCACCAGGTTGAGCAGCGTGGGCATGATGCTCTCTGCTCCGTGGTCAAACTTGTTCCCCAGGACTGACGAAAGATGTCTGCAAGGATCCAAAGCCAACGCAGACTCAGAAGACATATATGACACAGCAAAGCATTGGTTTATAATGCTTTTTTCATGACACTTTATCACCATCGTAAACTACTACAGCTACAGTTGCCTTGCGGCAGACTCTCCTAACATCTACCCCTCCTAACACCACCAAACATTCATGCACACACAAGACTCATTCTAGGCAATGTGGGTGAAGTGTCCTGCCTAAGGATGACATTTTACAGCTGGCACCTGGTGTTTCCAGAGGTCTCCCATCACAGTACTAATCAGGCCTTGTCCTGCTAAGCATCTGAAGCCTGCTGGGAATTTTTGCTCCAACTCTCTCTGTTTTTTTTTTAATCACACTTACCATTTTGGATTTAAAAGATGGTTTACTGCCTTCCATGATCCTGGTGTTTTTATTTTTTTGATAATCAATCCATCCATCCATTTTCTTCCCCTTCCATTTCTGGGTTGGGGGGGTGGCAGTCAGAGCTGCACCCAGTACACATAGCACCAGCCCCTCACTGATCCTCCTTCAGGTGGTGAGTCCACAGGAGCCTTGATCTTTCAGCGAGGCAAAGTGGGGTTAAGTGTCTTGCCCAAGGACACAACAACAGCATACATCAGTGCGAGTCGTGAAGTATGCCTTGTGGTGGGCTCGAACCCACGACCTTCAGGCCCAAAGGCCAGTCCTCTACCAACTGAGCGTTAAAAGTCCTGGATAGGAAACCTTTCCGGCATCACCACTGCAGCATCTTGGCCAAATATAAGATGCTCAGCTGGGAAAACTTGGTAAGATTTCAAGATGGTCTTCTGGTTTTTAAAATCTTAAATGGTCTGGCCCCACCCCCACTATCTATTTTTTTTAAGCAGAGCAGCAGAAACACCAGGGGCCGTATTCCTAAAGATTCTTACTGCTAAAAGTTGCTCCTAGTGGCCAAATTCTAAGAATTTTCTTAGAATCTTGACCAACTCTTAGAATTTCCCCTAAAAGTGAGGAGTAGCTCCTAGTTAAGATAAAAGCTATTCCTAAAAAATCCTAGCTCTTAAGAGTGCTCTTAAGGGGAGATCCCTTAAGAGTTGAGAGGAGGACTTTTAGCGACTTAAAAGTTCCCTAAGAGCACAAAATGGTGGACGTTGGAGACAGGAGAAATATTCTATACACTGGATGACAGTGAATCAGTGAAACGCTACAGATTCAAGCAGGAATCATGTTTGTGGTATATTTAAAAGTCAATCATGTGACCAGCTTCTCATTGGCTGGTCAGCAATAACACCTCATCCATTTTACCTTTGTTACACAAAAGTAAGTAGAAATGGTAAAAGTTGAAAGAGAGGAAAAAGTGGTCCTAAATTGTCACACATTCAGTACGAATGAATGAATACTTTATTTTGAGCCATGGCAAACAAGAAAAAAAAGGACAAAACAAATAAAACAACAACAGAATAGAAGTACAAATATACAGTTTTGTTTTATTAACAACAATCCAGCTCAAAAAGGAGTGGGAGAGCATAACGCTTTTAAGCTCCCTTGTACTTCATTTGTACAGTGTATGTACAATATGTTTATATTAATATTGTTTCCTTAATTCCTTATACGTCTATACATATCACAGCCTTTACTAATCCTAACGTTATCATTATCATCATTTATCCATATAATATTTATAATAATAATTTTCTTTATCATGTATATTATATATAGAGTAATATTTAAATTATATGTATATATATATATATATATATATATATATATATATATATATATAAAATTAAGTGCTCATGATATATACGTATTATGTGTGATAAATTGGTGCTGAGCAAGCTCTGATGATGGTGTATAAGTCTAACTTTACTATTCACAGTATTTATGTACCATTGATATATCTGACTTTATAGCTTTTGGTTATTATTTACAATAACACAGTGTTCCTAAGATTAGATTCCATGATTGAGTTTGTCCATTTTAGGGCCCTTATTTTGCCTATTATCATCAAAAATATGTTTGTTCTAACTTTTAGGATCAACCAATCACAGCGTCTGAAATGATGACTCATACCTAGCAACGGGGTCGGCCACGCCTCCTCACTAAGATAAAAGTTGTTGTCAATTCCTTGCTCAAAGTTCTCTAAGAGTGTTCTGGAATAACTTTTAAGCTAAGACTCCTAGCTAGGAGTTTTTAGGTTAAGATAAGAGCTCTCTGAGAGGACTCTCAGAATCTTTAGGAATACGGCCCCAGATCTGCTGCCTCTAATAATGTTCTCGTCCCACAAAGAAAAAGTTCCTTTGGCCAATCAGCTTTCTCAGTGCGCGCCGTTCAGTTTTGGAACACAATCCCAGTCCATATAAGAAATAGCACCACACACAGGACTTTTAAACATACGTTAAAAACCTGGTTATTGGACAATCAAGATTGTAACCACTCATGATGCATTACTTGCTTTTATATGTTTTAATGAGGTGTTTTAAATTGAAATGTTCTAACTAGTTACTCTATATTGTAATGTAATTGTAATTTTTTGCAGTGCACTTTGATGGCATTTTACACCTTGCCTAGGGACTATAGTTGGAAACTAGCTGTTAGCTAATACTGACACATTTACAGCAATGTTGATTAATGTGTATCGTTCCTATTCAAATAAACTATATAAAAAAAAAAAAACATCCAGATATGAGCCATATAAGGATTGACCAATCAGATGCCTTCATTTGCGGGGGAACAATCAGTCTTGGCAACATGGCTGTGCCTAATACGGTAGTAAGCTAACACCGTGGAAGATATGGCGATATAAAGAAATTGGTTCCAGCTAGCTAATGTTCGAATGTGCATCCTCCACATAAAGTCTATGGGTCCAAACTAATTGAAGGCCAGATATTTTTGTATAAGTCCACTTTATTTATACGAACCTGTGGAGTTCACCAGGATGGTTATTCAACATTTTCAGGATTAATGATTGGAGCCGATTTATGATTATGTTGTGCATTCTCTGCATTAGCCTAACTGTGCGGAAATAACGGATGACTGTCTGTGCATTTGACTCAAGCTCATTAATCTTGAAAAAAATAAAAATAAATTAAGTTGACTCCACAGGATGGAAATTTTGGCAAGAAAGTTCATTAGGCTGATCAGTGATACAAACTTAAATCACCCATGGAAAATGCAGTAGTAAATACATACCTCAATGAAGCCTAATAGGGAACTACTCATGGATGAAGTTTAGCGTTGGAGTTTTAGAAAAGTGAATTCTTCTAGCTCAGTAACCATTTGTTACTCACAACAAACAAACACAATAAAACACTCACAATTTTGGGCTTAAAAATCCATAGTTTAGCACCCTCTTCTATCCTGGTCTTTATATCGTGATATTGCCTTTGTAAAAACAATATCTTTGTTGAGTAAGTAGCGCAAGTTAGACCGCTCCTGCTTTTTGGCTTTTGGTAACTGGACTATTGCTTTCAACAAAATGTGCTAATATTGGCTCCACATTCCCACTCAAAAAAACCTGTTCGAGCTAGCTCTAATTGGCCTCTTTTGCATTAAGGCTAAAAAACACTGTGTTGACGTCAGCACTCGGTCAGTCCACTTCCCATATGTACAGCCAATGCAGTGACATGCAGTGAGGATGGTGATTGGTGAGGCACTGACATCACCCTAATTTGATGTACATATATATCATATATAAATCAACAGGACCTACAGAGCAGCTTATTAACAATTTGTTTGGCTAGAGCGAAATAAGTTTTGTGTCCAAATTGTTTGCTCAAACAAAGTATGTAAAAAGCTAATTTAAAAGTGTGTTTTGGGCATGGATCTATAATAATAACTGTATGGGGTATTACTAGCTTACAGCTATCCCACCCACGTACTGCAAACTAAATTCACGAGGGCTACCCAGAAAAAAGTCCCATAGAACTCAATTAAAAGAGCTCGACCTCAGCTGACAGAGAACCTACAGTCTTACCCTTCACTTCCCTTTCTTTATTTATTCTATATCGTCATTGGAAGCATAACATTGGCTTAAGTGGCTTTCAAATTATCTTAATATGTCTTATATGTATGTAAGCCAAATCTGTAGCTGCCCTTAGCAGAGGAAGAACAAGAAAGGACGCTTTCTGATGGAGTCGGATGCAACCGAGGCCTGGGCTCATGATCGCCCCCTACCCTGAGGCTCGCCTCACTTGGTGACATTACAAGCCGTGGTTGAGCGTGATAAAGACTCATATTTGTTTTCAAAAACACAATTTATGACCAATCTTATGTCTTAAGTAGACATGTTGATTGTAAAGCCCCGGTGATCCAAGATGGCGCCCCATTCAAATCTATGGCTTGTGCTCAGTAACGCATGGGACAGCCTGTGATGGCTACACCCCACAGGATGACATCATGAGCCTTGTCCCTCCTGATTTGAAGAGGAAAAAGGGGCGGGCTTATGTGGGCTGGTACAGCTGTGGGTAATTGGGCTGGGCAGTGTATATATATGTTGGGTTATGTTTTATTTGGAAGGTCAGTTTGTTTGTGTTAAGTTCTCATTAAGTTAACATTTGCTTTCTATAAAGTTCTATTCTTTTGACCCTTTTAATGGCCTGTTTGTGTATATGGCCCATAAACCCTTTTTAGCAAGATTTGAACCTTTGTCTCGGTGCTTTACTGCTTGGTCCCTAACAATTGGTGGCAGTGGTGGTCATCCAGTTTAGACATTTTTTTTTTTTTTTTTTTCGTGAAAAATGCCTGTCAGAGGGTCAGAGGAAGAGGAAGAGGACGGAGAAGGGGAGAGCTGGAACAAAAAGCAGCAGACTTGATGGACTCTGAGGAGACTCAAAATGGAGCTTCTGGAGAGGTGAAATACACTGATGGGTGTGAAGAAGAAGAGGAAGAATGTATGGAGCCTACACTCTCAGATCTAATTGCCATTCTTCAAACACATAGGGGCAGCAGAATATCAGAGAGGTGGCACAAAGGCAGCGATTCGAGTCTCTGGAGCACAAATTTGAACTTTTGCAGTC